GCTGAACTTGAATTAATATGCAAACTAGACACCATTAATTTTGGCTTGAATAGAGACTGGGAGTGGCTGGGTCATTACACAAATTGAACCTATTTCCCCATGTTAAGTATCCTCACACCTTTTTGTCAACTGTCTGAAATGGGACAGCCACCTTCATGGGACTGTGTGCTGAGCTCGCCCCCACCCTGCGGCGCAAGGACACGAGATTGAGAGCTGCCCTGCCGGTGGAGAAGTGGGTGGCTATTGCAATCTGGAAGCTACCAACTCCAGACAGCTACCGATCGGTAGCTAACCAGTTTGGAGTGGGAAAGTCGATGGTTGGAATTGTGTTGATGCAAGTTTGGAGGGCTATTAATCGCATCCTGCTCAGAAGAACCGTGACTCCAGGTAACATGCATGACATTGTGGCTGGCTCTGAACAAATGGGTTTCCCTAACTGCGGAGGGGCGATAGATGGGACGCATATTCCTATTCTGGCACCAGCCCATCTCTGGGTTTCTGTGCCTTGGGGAGAGCCAACAGCTGCAGGGGGCACGTACACTGAACACTGTCCCAACATTCTCCACAGGAGTTCATCCTGGAAGATATCTCGCTGCTGAGGGTGACCAGGGAAGCAAGGGAGGGTCTTCTCTTACAATGTGGCTTCTGCCTTGGCCCACACGCAGCTTGCCTGTGTGGAGCAATGGTCCCACCGCCCCTCACAGCACAGTGGCGAAGACAGGAGCCTGTCTGGGACAAGAACCACACTGGCTCTCCCAATAAACCTGCACAGGCGCATTGCTCACGTTCTGGCTGAGACTTTTGAAAAGATCACCGATGCCGATTACCGCAATGTGATAAACCACATCAATGCGCTATTCCGCATCTAGGCATGCATGCAGCCCTTACTCTCCTTGCCCAAAGAGCCCGTACCTAAAAACTTCCTTCCTGAAAAGACAGCCGCTTACCAGGAACCTCCTTCCTTCCCCAAGCACCTGACGCTGCGACTGGCTGCCTTCCTCCTGGCTAGAGAAGAGCTCCTGGCTGCATGCATCTAGGGACTCCGGGGTGTCTCTCCCCGCCTCAGCACCATCGCTCGTGCTTTCCTCCTCCTCCTCCTCCCCCCCACCCTTGCTGTGCTGGGCTCGGAAGTGTCCATGGTGGTCGTTGCAGTGGAGGTGGGATCGCCCCCAAGTATCGCGTCCAGCTCTTTGTAGAATTTGCAGGTCGCGGGGGCAGCACCGGAGCGGCCGTTTGCCTCGCGGACTTTCCGGTAGGCATTCTGCAGCTCCTTTACTTTAACCCGACACTGCACCGCATCCCGGTCATGGCCCCTGTCCATCATGGCCCTTGAAATGTGCCCAAAGGTATTGTAATTCCTACGGCTGGAGCGCAGCTGGGACTGCACTGCTTCCTCCCCCCAAACACTGATGAGATCCAGCACCTTGCTTTGCTCCATACTGGCTTGTGGAGGCACAGCCTCCTGGAAAGATGCACTGAGAGCACTCCACGCCTGGCTGAGCAAACAGGAAGGGGATTTTCAAAATTCCCAGGGAATTTAAAGGGCAGGTCTGATGCTTGGTCACCTGAGGACAGGGCAGAAGAGTTCAAAAGTGATGACCAGAGTGGCTAGAACAGGCATTGTGGGACACTTCCGGAGGCCAATCACAGAGTATTAGATGTCCACACTGGCGCCGCCGCACTCCAGCGAGAGCGCAACAAATGTTATTCCTCTCGGGGAGGTGGAGTACCAGGAGCGCTCCAGCCGCAGAGTCAGAGCGTTCTACGTGCCTAGCCAGTGTGGACGGGGAGTGAGGTAGAGCGCTCTTGACGGCTTTATTGTGCTATAACGCACAAGTGTAGCCATGGCCTTAGTCTCTAAGGTGCCACAAGTATTCCTGTTCTTTTTGTGGATACAGACCAACATGGCTGCTACTCTGAAACCAGACCTAACAATCATCTATCCAAGTAATGACCCAGCCCAACCCCACTTTGCTTGTGAGCTCTGACAAGACCATCACGCAAGGTGCTACTATGTCTGTAGAGCACTGATTAAGGATAAAAATAAATGCTTCCCCAATAGTACAAACTTGATTTCATAGCAAGATTTGTTTGAAATACATTTTGGAAGCAAATAAGCAATAGAATAACAAACTAAACAGGAACCTCATGGCCCACACAGAGCTCCCAGAGATATGCAAAAGATTAGGAGACCCCCCCCCACAAAAAAAGATCCATGCCATTGTCAGCTTCTAGCTGGACTACAGCAATGCAATATACTTGGGCATGAAGCTGTCAGCTCTTAGGAAACTCCAATTAGTACACAGCACAAACACCTCAACAACACAAGTTAGCATTTGCACATCACAACTGTCATCTGCTCTCTCCACTAGCTTCCTATAGGACACTGAGTCAAATTCAAGATCTCTGTCCTCCTCAAGGTGCTAGAGGGTCTGGACCCAGTATATCTAAAACATTTTTTCTAATGTTCCAGGATTAGGACCAGGATAGACAAATCTGCTGCTCAGGCACAATGGAGCTGTTCATTGCCAGGGTAAACTTGTCTGTGCAGGAAACAGAGCTAAGGCTGAGAAATGAACTTCCACAGGATCGAAAAACAACCTCAAACCTCAACACTTTCCATTCCTTGTCATACAGCACAGCAGCCAAAATAAATGCAGAAACAATTTTAAAAAAACTCACATTTTTTTCCCTTGCACACACACACACACACACACACACAAAAGGGGCGGGGGGGGGAGGGCCACACATAGCAAATGCTATTCACACTGCTTTATGCTCTTAGGCAAAGCATTCAGGTACTACAGTGATGAGGGCAGTACAAGAACCTGAATAGAATAGATGTGGGCTTATGGTTGCTAAAAAATGTTTAAACTGCTCCCACTGCAGAAGATCAAGATGGAAATATCTGGTAGATTATTCAGTCCATCCTCTGAGGAAAAAAACTCACAGTAGAAAGCCAACTGTGTCCCCTCACAGCCTAAATCAGTCTCCTTGTCTCAGAAAAATGCTGAATGACACAATGACACCTGTGTCACGTCCCAGGATGTATTTATTAGCGTAACTGAAGCAGTAGCATAGATAATCCTTTTCTGGTTGTTGAGGGGTTCATTTAACTCAATAAGGGTTTGTAGAATGACATTACTGAGCTAATAAACAATGCAATTCCTACCACCCTGTTACACAACCAAGTTTATGTTAGTACTCGTTTCTGCAAATGCAGTAATTAATATCCCTCTGCAAAGTGGCTTATGCTAAAATCCCACCTCTTTTCCTCCTGTAATGTTTATGTGATTACCAGTGTGCATCTAATAAGTTTTCCCCACTTACAACAGATACTTTGACCTAAGGGACACAACCAGCATAACAGGCTAGGTGATATTCATGAGTCTTGGCTGTCCAATACCTTTGAAAAGTGATTCTCAACCATGCAAACACAGATAGGCCTTTTGTAGGCAGCCTGTTTAAAAATACATATATTTATCTGCTATAGAGCATAACTATGGCACACTCATTATTAAAATCATCAAAATGGGCAGATACAATTCATGTCAAACAGGCTGGTCAATGTCCCTTTTTAACAACACAATACTTCTTTCCTTTACAGGACAGAGACTGTTTCTGACATAGCTGATGTCAGCATTACACAGGAAGAGATTGCAGATGTGTCCACAGCCCATTACAGTAGATGCAATTAGTATCCACAAATAAGAGACAAATCCCCTCAGCCTGTAGAGAACTGGAGTCTACAGTAAAGGTCACATTAACGCACATCAGGAGCATGATTAGGTTTAAGAAATACTGCTGGATGGTTCATGAGGAAATATTGGTATAATCACACCATAAAATAAGTGGTCCAAAGTACATTTTTTTAAGCAACACAGTGAACTATTTTAAAATGGATAAGTATGGCAACACATATCTTCTATACTTCCTTTCTCTAACAGCATATTCATGTTAACAGATGTTTAGTTTTGCCCCTTAAAATAAATATTGTTAGTTCTACAATACACACCTCAAATAAACATGTTATGGGCTAGCTACTTACAAAATCAACTCAATATCAATTGTCAGGTTTTGATCAGAGAAGAATCATTTCTTGTTCTGCACCTTACCTGCGCATTGGCTTTCCGTCCATGCACCGTGAAGAGAAGCCTGCACCTTACACTTCAAGACCTGACCTAAGGGGAGAAAAAAAAGGATGAAAAAAGTGAAAGTATGTCCTATTTTAGCTCTTCACCATGATACAAACAATAACTAATCATACCCAAATAGTATGACTAGAAGCCCTTATCCAGCTGCAAAATTCACAATCTCGCTAAACAATGGCTGGGTTACAGAGAATAAGACAGAAGAAAAGTTAAGCACCTTACAAATAATGAGTTTAATATATTTAGCACAGTGATGGTGTAGACAAATGTGACACCCATCATGCGCTCAATAATCTGCATGCTACGCTGGACACTCTAAACAATTTTATCAAGGAAGGAAAGGTTATCTAGGACACTGGGGGGTGGGGAATGGGATGTTTCTCTCACACTTCCAAAAAACTGCCAGAAAATATTTATACTTCACATACTTACAAGAAAAAGATGGCACCCATTAAACAGTACAGCACTGACCTAGGGTCAGTATTTGGTATAAGATCAGGTTAGGGTCTGGACAACTGTATGTCCCAGAGGTAAGAGGAATGCTAACAAAGCCACATATCCACAGAATAAATAGATGAAGTTGCATGATACTGTAACTCACTTTCCAATTCTATTAAATGTATATTTACTTTTTAGTAGAAGCAACAGTTACATACTTTGTACTCCTCAGACTTCCAATTCTAATGCTGAATACACCCTCTTTTTACAGGAACACTTGTCAACTAGATTATTTTAAAAAATGACTAATATAATGAAATTCCGCTTTCTGATTCAGCTTCCTTTAAACCAGTGGTTCTCAAACTTTTGTACTGGTGACCCCTCTCACATAGCAAGCCTCTGAGTGTGACCCCCCCCCTTATAAATTAAAAACACTTTTAAATATATTTAACACCATTATAAATGCAGGAGGCAAAGCGGGGTTTGGAGTGGAGGCTGACAACTTGCTTTTCAATCTTAGTAGGTAAAAAAAAAATCTATAGTAGGTACAAAAAAGAAGTGCAATGTTCATGTTTCTTTTAAATAGGAACATCAAGCCAATATATAAACTAAACTTTACGGAAACACCAAATACTCCCTCTGTATTGTGGTGTATCATAACAGCCTTTAACATTTGAACTCAAGAAGCAAGAGCAGTATAACAATACTTTCGAATTCCATAGCACCTATTCAAGAATCAAAGAGCACTTCAAAAACAATCAAGATGCACAACATTGCTAGGAGACTGGAAAGCAGTAAATTATACCATCTACAAGAGAAGACATCCTCAGCATATGAAAAAAGCTTCAAAAGGATAGTCTTGTGGTTAAGGCACCAGACAGGAACTCAGGAGATCTGGACGCAATTCTCCGCTCTGTCACAGATTTCCTTTATGACCAACCTGTGCCTCAGCTCTTTATATGTAAAATGGGCATAATAATAATTCCCTAACTCCTGTATATATTAAAGGTTTAGCTTTACATATTGTTTTTGCAACCTAATTTATAAAAATCTTGTATGGTCAGATCAAGAAACAATCATACGTATATTCCATCAACGTGATATATTATGAACGCATAGGGAAAATGTAATATTTTGCCCTAATGAGGTTGTTGATTAATCAAGATGATGTTTAGATTTGCTATCTTTAGTTTTGCAGGCTTCTCAAATTATCAGTACCTATTTATTATTTGCTAATAAATGTGACTAATAAATCATTTGGAACCTATTCCTGGTGGGTGTTGAGCACATGCAACTCTAATGCAACGTGTGAAACACTTTTCACATGCATGAAGGGGCTTCAGAGAATTATAAAGATCATTCCACTACAAGATTAACAGTACTGGATGTCACGAATCACCTGTATACATTTAGATGAATGGGCATGTCTACACCTGACCCTTTTACAGGAATGTGAATAGAAGATGTTCACAGTATGCTGCAGGCATTTTGTACAGTAAACTGAGGCTATGTTCTTCACAGTCCTTTTGTGTTTATGTCAGAATTAATCCCCTCAAAATATCATTAAAATCAAGAAAATAAATTTCTGTACAATTTTGCTACAATGTCCCTGATTTAATGTCCTCACTGGGATAGTAACACCAAGTAATACTTAGTCCCATTTGTTGTTCCATTCAATTAATAGTGTTCTTTTCTCTCTCATAGTGGCCCCAGCTCCAGGATATACACAGATATAGCTGTATAGCAGATATATGCTGCTGCTTTCATGGATAAACATAGCTGGTTTTCTATCACCTCCTGATACGAGACGTTCCTTTTGCATGATGTCATGCATAAGACGTGACATGAAACGAAAAGAAGTCAGCAAGAGAACTAGCAAATAATGTTGTTGAAATATAGAAAAGCAACTTAAACAACATTATTCCCTGCATCCCCCAGCCTCCAAAAGAATACTGGATCAGGCCCTTAGGTGCATCACCACTCCTCATACCTCATCAATAAGAAGGTTTAAATCTCTATGCCTCTGTTTCCCCATCTGTAACACTGGGGAAGGGGAGGGAATTTCAAAGGCACAAACAGCAGTTAAGAACTTAAATGTATTGACTTCCAATGTGAATGAGCCCCCTAACTACCATCTGTGCCTCTGAGACTCTCCCCAAAATCAGGTATTCATCTCACCGTGATGCTGGATAATTTGTTCACATTTGCAAGGCAGTATGATGAGCCCAGGATGGGAGGTGCACTCAGATACCATCAGTACCCTCGAGACACAGGCAAGGCTCCAGCGTGAGCCACTGTCTATTCCCAACCAGTCCAAGCGGGCGGAAGAGGGGTCGGCAAACGGATGCTTTGGGAATTTTAAGGGATTACAATTGAAGATGGAAAGCCCCTCCCCTCCCCCCAGCCCCGACCCTGCACCCCAGGCACCCTGCTCCTCCCCCATCCTCCCCCAGCCCCGACCCTGCACCTCGCCCCGTCATCCCCGGCACTCCCCCCCACCAAGTCCCAGCCCCCAGGCCCGGCCCCCCGCCGTCCCTTGCGGAGGCCTGACCCCCTCGCTCGAACGGGGGGGGGGGGGCAGTCTTCCCCTGAAGGAGCCACCGCCTGGGAGGCTGTAGCCGGCGGAGGAGGGACCCGGACCCTCGCCCTGTCACTCACGGGCGCGGGGTCTGTGCCTGCGGGTGCTGCTGCTGCGGGTCCCGGAACAGCGAGTAACCAGCCCCCTCCGCCCGTCGGCTCCGCCAGCAGGACGCGGTCCGTTCTCCCCAGCCTTCCCCCCGGAACCGCAGCCGCGGACACCGCCGTTCCGGGCTCAAACCGGCCCGCCCCCTTTCCTCCCCCGGGGATGGGGGGGTCAGGGGGCCCAATGGCGGGACCAGGCTGAAGGCGAACTCCTGGCCGTCATGGCAGCGGACTGCGCTAGTATCGCCCTGAGTTATCACGGCACCACCATGAAGTGTCATGTAAAGCCTCCTGGCAGTGAGTCACGGACAAATAAGGTGGCCAGCAGTCCCTTATTACAAGGATGTCCTTTATTTTTTCATCTCTGAACAAGATCGGGAGTTATTGAGTGCTGCAAAAAGCAGCAAGAAATACCCCCACGCGAATGTAGGTGAGTACTGCTTATTATATTATTATTATTATTTTATTTATTGATTATCATAATGTTGGGAGGAGCAGTGGGGTGAGAGTGCTAAAAAACAGTCCCTTATTTTTTGAAATGGCAACCCTACAGTCAAGTGTCACTGTGTCATGGCAACAGTCACCACCAAGTATTATAGTAATGGGTCACCTCCAAGTGTTACGGAAAAGTGTCATGGTAATAGGTCACCGCTAAGTCTCACTGTGTCATGGCAAAGCATCATGGCTACAGTTACCACCAAGTGGCATGGTAATGGGTCACTGTCAAGTTTCACTGTGTCATGGCAAAGTGTCATGATAAGAGGTCATTGTAAAGTGTCACTGTATCATGGCAATGGGTCACCACCAAGTATCATAGTGTCCTGGAGAAGCGTTCACCTCACAGCAATGCATCCCTCCATCATGGGAGTGTGTCATGGAGAAATAGTCACACCAAAGGGTCATAATGCCATAACAGAGCATCACCAGGCCACAGGAAAGCATCATAGCAAAGTAGCACCACATCATGGTGAAGTGTCACTGTGTCATGATAAAGCATCACAGCGAACTGTTGTGGAGAAACATTCCAATGAAGCATCACCATGTTGGGGCAAAGCATAGCCATATCATGGTGAAGTGCCACCAACCCACAGTGCAAAATGTCACCAAATGTGGCTTAATGACTCAGCACTCCTGATGACAAGAATTCAGAATAATAAAATGCAGGGTCACATATTTTTTTAAACATTCAAAATGTGTAGGCATGTTCAGGCTACATTAGGATCCATAATTATGAAGCTTGGCACATTTTCACTTATTTAAAGTGGGATGACCCTGAAAATTTTGGGGATAGGTGGGATTTCTTCCTGTTTGCTAGGTAAGAATTATTATCCCCATTTTGCGGATGAGGAAATGGAGGCATGGACAATTTACGTGACTGGCCCATGATCACACAGTGAGTTAGTGATAGAGCCAGGTATAGAACTCAGGACTTAGTCCAACATTCCAGCACAATCCAGCAGCCTAAGTAAACCTGAACTAATAATATTTTACATTTCTAGAGCACCATTCCTCCCAAAGAATATCAAAGTACCCTACAAATTGCAACCTCTGCAACAAGTGTGTTGTGTTTTTTATTCTTTGCCTATCAGAATAACTCAAGATGCTCAGAATGACCCAAGACAATTCCCTTCTCCACACCAGGCAATAACACTGATGAGAGAATAGCAGATTTGTGCTGGGTCAAAAATGAAAGAAGAGCAGTTGCAAGACCTCATCTCAGTGTACTTCAACTGGACTCTGATTCTGCGAAGACTTCTGCTCCTTCCTAAGCATGACAACCCATTTCAAAACAAATGTGGGGCAGATCATTCGGCCCTTATCAGCTCAATGAGTGATTATCAATTATTATATCAGTTTCACTAGGCTCTGGGAATTCACTGTGCATTGATGTGAATAAACAGAAGAATTTCCTAGAGATTAGAGCAGGAAACTGGGAGTCAGGATTCCTGGATTCTGTTCCTGGTTCAGAGCCCTGATTTGCTGTATGGTCTTGGGCAAGTCATTAAATTGCTTTGTGCCTCGGTTTCCCCAGCCTGTAAAATGGAGCTAGTATAACATGATCTCACAGGAAAGACTGTCACCCAATTATTGTCAGGATTATATAGCTTTTCACAAGGCGTCCTGCAATTACAGGTTCCTATGGGTCCTGAACTCACTTTTGGGATCTGTGAAACATTATTCCTTTGCATCTCCAGGTGCTAAGGTAGCATCACAATCTTATGACTCATCCCCAGTGTAGCAATTTTGTCTTGGTAGTGGGATGGTTGTGAGGTTTAATCAATGTTTGCATAGTGCTTTGTGATCCCCTGATGAGGCAACCTAAGAATGCAAAGTGCTATCTTGTTAGAATTGCATAGCAAACTCAGCATTTCCTTAATTTCTTAAATAAACGGAGTGGATTCAACTCCCTTCCTTTTTGATGCGTTACACTCTCTTGGGGAAAAAAAACGACGAGTCCTTGTGGCAAACCTTGCAAACCTTGTGGGAGGTTTGATTGTGACATTTATATATCACTCTGCCTAGGGTGAGTTCTGCTCCACCACAGAAGTTGCTCTGGAAGCCCCCAGTGTGCAGATGCTGCACTATCCTGAGGAAACTGTGGTGTGTTCTTTTTTTTTTTTCCATCAGCCAACGCTACTCCCCGTCCTCTCCTCCCCATCATTGCTTTTGGCATGTTTTGCATATCAAGTGGGTAGTGGGAGGGAGCAGTCTGTGTGCTGTAGGGATTGTGATTGCACCCAGACACTGTGGGAAGGGGCAAAAGGAGAGAAACTTCATGTGTCCTACAACCCTCTTGCTCACCTGGGTCTGAGCCAAAGTCCACTAAAGTTAACTTCAGTTCAATTCAAGGAGACTTTATTGGCATGAAAAGCTATGCAAGTAGTGTCAAAATGTTTTAAAAAAAAGATCCCTCAGGTATCTGTTGGGGCAGGTACAACCCACCCAGGATTGGGGCCACACTGTGTTGGGGCTGGATCCCTTGCATCCATTGCTCATTACTGTCCATTCCCAATCAGGTGGCAGGTTGCTATGTGGTGTGCTGCCATTCCTTTTCTTGAGACAAGGTGAGTGAGGTAGTATCTTTTATTGGACCAACTTCTCTGGTTGAGAACAGAAGTTGGTCCAATAAAAGATATTACCTCATCCTCCTTGTCTCAAGAAAAGGAATGGCAGCACACCACAACCACACTGCATATCCCTTTTCTTGTTCTAGGGCCAGGCACAGTGGAAAGACTTCCATTCACTTGCAGTCAGGTCGCTGCTTAGTGGCTATGCACAGTCTGGTCCAAAATCTTGTGTGACTCCCAGAGACATCACTGACCTGAGAGGAATTTTTAAAGACAGCTCACTGACATGATACCAAGGGTTTGCAAATGGCTTTTAAATCCCTTCCCTAAAAATTACAGTGTCAGGAGATGCAGGCTGGCATCAGAAGGCTTTGATGATTCCTCCAGCCATATTCACCAGTGATTTCCCTCTCATTTCCAGACTTAGTGGCATTGTGCACCCCGGAACTCTTGGCAGCAGGCCTTGTCCCCCAGCTGCCTGGGCGGGGCCATTCCATGATGTCAACCTTCCCTGGAATCCGGAGGAGAGTGAAGGTGGCACACAGAGAACTGTTGCTATAGCAACAGCAGAAGCTGTCTGCATCGGTGTTGGCCAGGCAGGGTCAGGAATAGCTTTCTTGGGACTTGGAGGTGAGGACATCCCCGCTGTGCACAGGTTTGTGAGAGCCCTAGAGGGGCCATGGGGCCCTAATTGTGTCTTGTTCAGTGTGGTCATTTAGGGCCTGATCCTGAGAATCTGCACTAGGGAGCTGTGGGACATGGCAGGTGTGGTGCTTGTTGTCCCACAGCAGCCTGAGTCCAGTCGGGAGCCACTAAGAAGCATTTGAGCAGAGAACAATGAAGTTACATGCACGAATCCAGTGCAGCGCGCCCCTGTCTTGTGAGCTTCGATGCCACTGTGCAGGGGGCTTCCCCTTGGCAGCTGGCCCTTCGTCCTATGTTTTTCAACACAGTTACCCTGAAAACTGTGTGAGTATGGTACCTGCAGCTCCCACTGGGATCAGTGAGTCTGGGGCACCCAGCACCAGTCAGGATCAGGTCCTTCTATGACAAATCCTCCTCTAACATGGCTTTTCTTCTTAAATGTTCGTGAAAATGGCACTTTCCCATGGGCTGGAGAGAGAAGTAGCCTCACAATAAGAATGTATTTGCCCTCTCATGAGAAAACAGAAACAAAATGGTTCCTGTCAGCTTAAATGACGTTGGGCCTGATGCAATTTCCAGGTATGGACCCTTTCTCCTGTGCAGAGCCCCACTGACTTCACTGGGACACCGCGTAATCCTCTGTCCTGAATTAACTGAGTTAGGCCCTGATCCTGGGAAAATACATACCAAACTGTCCCTAGAAAGTCCCTCTCTTATGGAGTACATAGATATTAAAGTCCCCTGTGTTTTTGTTCCTTAATCTCTAAGTGTCTGTGTATTTTAAATCTGTGGATAAGTGCTTTTGTGATCAAATGAAAATAAATAATGGCTATACAAATATATATATATATATATATGTATATATGTTACGGCTGTCAAATGATTAAAAAAATAATTGCAATTAATCATGAGATAAAAATATTTGCAATTAATCACAGTTTTAAACACACTGTTAATAATAGAATACTAATTTAAATATATTATAAATATTTTTGGATGTTTTTCTACGTTTTCAAATATTGATTTCAATTACAACATAGAATACAAAGTGTACAGTGCTCACTTTATATTATTTGATTACAAATATTTGCCATGTAAAAAAGATAAAAGAAAAAGTATTTTTCAATTCACTTCATACAAGTGTTGTACTGCAATCTCTTTATCGTGAAAGTGCAATTTACAAATGTAGATTTTTTTTTTTTTTACATAACTGCACTTAAAAACAAAAGTCCACTTCTTCTTCCGTCAATTGGTAAGACAAGCAAATTTGTTTACATTGACAGGAGATAATGCTGCCTGCTTCTTATTTATAATGTCACCTGAAAGTAAGAACAGACGTTCGCATGGCACTGTTGTAGCCGGCATTGCAAGATATTTCCGTGCCAGATGCTAA